TTCATTACTTCATTACTTAAAACTGTGAAATTACCTTTGTTCTTAGTTTCTATCGATGGCAGATGTAAAAAAGCAATGCAGTATTTGCATTATTATTCAATCTGCAAAAAAGAAACCTGATTCTCTTAGATTGAATCAGTTTCTTCCAAGCTACTCTAATCACTACAAAAATCCCCCAATTCTAATAATGTTCCTTAGGGGAGGGGTGCATGGTCTCTTATTGATCTTTGTGTTCTCCTCAGCTACTAAAATCAGTCTCTTAGTAGATGTTCAGTAAAGGAATGTTGGATTAAAGATACTTTGACAGAGTATTGAATTCTGCTGCAGACTTCTTCATCCCCTGCAGGTGGTGCTGGGAGACAGGTTCTTTGTTTATTTACTTACTCATGAAGATCTGGGCTGGTAAAGGTGTTCTCGGTACCTGGTTTAAAGCTGTTGTGATTACATTTCCTCCTTCCCTTCACGCTAGTTACTGATCACAGAAGAGAGCCAAAACACCAAAAAAGGTGACGCAAGTGAAGGGAGACACAAAAGTAATTGGTGGTGTCACCCAGGCCAGCCAGTGAAGATTCTGTAGGACTTTCATGGAAAGAGACTTTGTACATTTTTACTTTCCAAAAGAGAACATATATTCAAGAAATTATTCTGTAGTACTAAGCATTACCCCAGAATCTACTATTAACTCTGATACTGTGCTTGTCATCCTTATACTTCTAGTATTTCTCACCATGATTAGATATGACTGGTTGCTGATATTTGGGACTTCAACCTTTAAGATTTCCTCTCCACCCCACAACTTGACCACCATGCCTCCCAGAGTTAGCTGCCCTTTGCTCTGTGATTCTCCAGTTTAAGGAATGTATCACTTATCTTTTAATATCTGAATCTCCCACTTAATTGAGAACTGATATATAGGGTAGGGATTATGTCATTTTCATCTTTGTATCACTAGTTCTTACTTAATGCTTAGGCTTTAGTAGTCACCAAATAAACTGAATGAATAAAGCAATCAATAAATCAATAACCGCCAGCCACATACATTAGTATTGTCTGGAACTAAGTGTACATTTCTCTTCTATCATTCTTGCCCTGGAAATTTCTGAAGCCAAAAGTAGAGATCTGTGCCTAAAGTCATAAATAAAGAAGCTGGTATATTTTAATTGACATAATATGATTCCCCAAAACCCACATTTCCTGCCCTCTCTCACCTTCCTCTGTATGAATCTTTTACAACTACCAGACTTGTCTGCTTACTTTCTCTGATATGCCTTATGCTTTCCCAGCACTGAGATTATTCCATCCCTCTATTTTATTCCCAGTCTATTTTAATCAGTAATTCTCAAGGTGGTTTTCAGGGGGGCTCACAATATCAACAGTATATTCATAATAACACTAAGATGCTTTTTGCCTTTCACTCTCATTTTTTTGTAAGTGTACAGTGGAATTTTCCAGAGGCTATATGAGATGTAATATCACAACAGAAGCAGATAGGAGAATCCAGCTGTATTCTATTAAGCCATATATTAAAAATACAAAATGTAAAATAAACATTTTTTCATTAATTGGTTTTGTTTTGAAAAATATTGTTATTTTTCATAAGAATATATTATTTATGTTAACATGTAATTTATTTTAAAATAAATTAATAGATATTTATTGATTTTCTTGACTTTAATTTAATATAATAAATACAAAGAGATATAACTCACATAGACAAAAACTCTTTGGGGTCCTCAATAATTTTCAAGGGTATTTGAAAAGAGTCCTAAGGCCAAAGAGTTTGACAATGCTGATCTAAATCTTCTATATCTTTTAAAGTCCAAATCAAAGCCTTCCTCCTTGATAAGCTATTTGACCACTGCAGCTACAGAGAATCTCTTCTGTCTAATCTGAATACCCAGGACACATACACACTTAGAGTTCTTTTTCACCATTTACCTAGTACAGAGCTTGTGCCATAAAGGAAAATATTGTTATACTGATTAAGAATAATAATTAAAGACCTTTGTGTTTGATGGTGAATCATAAACAACCCTTCTCCAGTCTCTGATGATAGTCTTCCCAGCCTCAAAGGAAAAAAAAGGATTTTCTTGACTTTTCAATCTATGCTTTTCACTGAAGATAATAATAAACTTACACACATATATAAAACATTTGTTATGTACTTTTACTACAAACCTAATACATATTAACTGAAAAAGAATGAAACATAAATTATAAATTGAAAATTAAATTCACCCTCAAAGCCATCAACCTGAGGCAACAACTACTCACATTTTAGTACATTTTAGTATATAAGTCTCCAGTTTTCTACTCTACAGTTGTTTTTTCACTGAATTAAGTTACACTGAAAAACCACCTATCATTTTTACAATATTCTAAATTGCTTTTTTGTGTGTTTTTTGCACTTACCATCAGATAGTGTCATATAAGGAGATTTAAAAAAACTGATAATGTTCATTTTGGGGGGTAATGTTCATTTTAATAAGTTGGGGGTAGATACAGAGGTATTCATTTTTCTTTAAATTAAATACGTAGTTTAATTTCCTTTTATGTGACTTGGGGCACCTGGGTGGCTCAGTGGGTTAAAGCCTCTGCCTTTGGCTCAGGTCATGATGCCAGGGTCCTGGGATTGAGCCCTGCATCGGGCTGTCTGCTCAGCGGGGAGCCTGTTTCCCTTCCTCACTCTGCCTGCCTCTCTGCCTACGTGTGATCTATCTGTCAAATAAATAAATAAAATCTTAAAAAAAATAATTTCCTTTTATGTGAATAATAACTTTATCATAAGTGAGTTTTCATAACAAATGAGTTTTTATTTTTTTTTTATTTTTTTTTAAATATTTTATTTATTTATTTGACAGAGAGAGAGATCACAAGTAGGCAGAGAGGCAGGCAGAGAGAGAGGAGGGGAAGCAGGCTTCCTGCCGAGCAGAGAGCCCGATGCGGGGCTCGATCCCAGGACCCTGGGATCATGACCTGAGCCGAAGGCAGAGGCTTAACCCACTGAGCCACCCAGGCGCCCCACAAATGAGTTTTTAAATTATATATAATGAACATTTTCTATGTCATTAAGTATTTGTTACCTTACCTAACTCTGTAATAGTCAATTATATATTTTCTAGGATTTATTTAACCTATGTTTAACCCCAATATTAAGCACTTAAATTATTCTAACTTTCAAAACTATAAATAATGCTTGGATTTTCTTCCTTGTATATACATTTTGCATATATCTCTGGTGATTTCTTTAGAATAAATTTAGAATTACAAGGCCAGGAGATACAAACAATTTTAAGACATTCAATTAAAATGCTGCTTCTCACTAGAAGAAAAACAAAACTAAGAATTAGGAGAAAAGGAAAAGAATTTGAGTAGTAACAAGAGAAAGCTGGGAAGGCACAAAGAAGAAGCAAAACTCATAGAAAAAATGCTGCCAAGGAAGAGAGAAGGAAAGGGAATAAAAGTGAGAGGCAGGAATAGAGTTGCAGAATCCCTACAGTGGATAAAACAAGGCATACTGGAGAGAAAAGGTTTTAGGGTCAGGCAGATGAAGATTTCAAACAAGTCATCCATTAATTATCTATGTGACCCTAGGCAAGTTACATAACTTTTCTCAGCCCCCACTTTCTTAACTGCAAATGGGAAAAGCAAAGAGTTTGGCAAATAGTAGGCACATAAATGTTTGTTTTCTTCTAAGGAAATGGGATAAAAGGTGGGGAGGGCAGAGGGAGAATAAAAAGGAAATGAAAAAAATAAATAACTGAATATATGGGAAAAACACAACCTAAAGAAAATCAAATTCTATTTCACAAATTGTTACTTTTGTATAAAATTCTGATGTCACATTAATGATAAAATAGAGAAGAGAAAGAAAACACAGATAAGTGTGTGGCTTGAGAGGAATGAAAATTTGCTGACGAGAGAAGTGAATTAATATGTGATTAAAAAAATAAGAATGACAGATCTTAAAAAATCAAAAGTTGACTCAAAATATTTGCAGAGGATTTTTTTGTCTTTGTATTGCTGCTTAATAAAGTCCTTGTTATGGTTTGAAGAAAAGATATATAAGAAAGATGTTGATGAATAAAAAGATTATGATTTGGAATAGTTTATATTCATTAAGCCATTTTTAAAAAGATTTTATTTACTTATTTGACAGAGAAAGGGACACAGCAAGAGAGGGAACACAAGTAGGGGGAGTGGGAGAGGGAGAAGCAGACCCTGGGATCATGACCTGAGCCAAAGACAGATATTTAACGACTGAGCCGCCCAGGCACCGCCCCCCCGCCCCCCGTTATGCCATTTTAAGAAGTGAAACAAATTAAAAATTGGAAGCAAACCAGCTTGTACACTCATTATTTTGACCCTGAGCCCTTGAAGTCTTTTACTTTCTATCTGTGCTCCAGCACGCATGCTCACACGCACACACTTCATCTTTCTCTTCTCTCAAGCAAAGAAGCAGGTGGCAACATTTTACCACTCTGCTCTCTGTTACTTAACTTCTGGTCTTTGTTTTCTCTTTCACAAACTCTTTAAAGATAATGTTAGGAGTTAAGAATCTCCTCTTTCTTGAATTTCCTTAGTTGGACTAGAAATCTTGAGAAAACAGGTTGTCTTTTTCTCATGAAATATTTTGGCACTTCATGCTTCTAACTGTTCCAAGAATGTCTTAAGACATTTTATTTGGCTTTTTTACTTGAGAATCTAAATAGAACCTGTCTGCCCAGAGGTACATGCACATCACTAAAAATTTAATGTGACTCAGAGAGAAAGTGAATCAAATCCTTTTTTTTTCCCAATGGAAGTATAATTGGCACACAATATCTTATTAGTTTCAAGTGTATGTCATAATGATTGGATATTTTTATGCATCATGAAATGATCCCTATAATAAGCCTAGTTACCATCTGTCACCATACAAAGTTACTAAAATATTATTGACTATATTCCCTAAGCAGTTTGTCTCTTAAATGAGTTTTATTTTAATTAAGGGTAAAGACTTCAATCACTTTTTATTTACTCTACAATAATGCATTCCTGTTGTTTGGAATAGCTAACTTAGTTTCAGATTGGTGGAACTCTCACCTCTATTGTGTGGTAGAAAATTACTGTAATTGGTTTTCTTATTTGACTGCTCTTGGAGGAGAATGCTACAGATAAGGGTGATAGTGACTTTTCACATAGCAAAATTTCTTCAGGCACCAAACAAGAAACATTAAAATGTTATATAGCAAATGTATCATATACTTTCATTGAAGACAGTAATCTTCGACAAAATGAGATAATGAAGAACCAGTTGAGATAAAGAATGGGAGCAATTCAAGTGATTTTAATTCCAGTTCAACAGAAGCTCTAGGTGTGGTTAGACCATGCTTCTGATGATGATGACGATGGTAATGATGACAGCAATGGACTGCTCTAGCTATCCACCGATCTCATTTCTTCCCACTCAGCAATAGTATCTTCCACGCAATTTTTCTTTGTCTTCTCACTTTCCTAATATCCATCTTTCCAGAACTCTGAAGCAGTTGGGGATCACAACGGAGACTAGTTAAAAATCTGCACACATATTCTAGATCATGTCACAGTTCCCAAGTCAAACCAGTTTATTTACCTCATTCCTTCCTTTGCCCTTGCCCTTTAACTTTCTCCCTTCGGGAATTCCCTCTACCTTTTAAGTCCAATGTGCAGACTTCAGTTTAACAACATTGTTTGACTACATCATCATGATGGTGAAATTCTTAGATGGTGATTAGTATATAAAGTTTCTGGCTCTCAGTTTTCCAAAAACATCAACCAGGTCTTAGAGATTCTTTGCAAATATAATGAAAGAACCTTATAAAAGATGTCACTTAGTCTATACTAAAATTCTTAATTCAGAACTAGCACCATTCATGGTCTTTTTCATACCTAAGTTACAGATCCATTGAGAACAATGTCGGTATCCTTTTAAAATGTCCAGTTGTCTTAAATATATCAAATACATCCAGCAATGGCACTACTAAGTATTTACCCAGAGAATACAAAAATACTAATTCAAAGGGATGCATCCACCCTGATGTTTCTAGCAGCATAGCCAAATTATGGAAAGATTCCAAGTGTCCAAGTACTGATAAATAGATAAAAAAGATGTGGTACATATATACACAATGGAATATTACTCAGCCATAAAAAGGACTGAAATCTTGCCATTTGCAATTACATGGATGTAGCTAGAGTGTGTTACGCTAAGTAAAATAAGTCAGTCAAAGCAAGACAAATGCCATATGATTTAATTCATATGTGGAATTTAAGAAACAAAGCAAATGAGCAATGGGGGAAAAAAAGAGAGAGAGGCTAACCAAGAAATGGAATCTTAACTATAGAGAACAAACTGATGGTTATTAGAGGGGATGGAAGGGGGGGATGGGTTAAATAGGTGATGGGGATTAAGAAGTACTCTTGTTGTGATGAGTACCAGGTGATGTATGGAAGTGTTGAATCAGTATATTGTATGCCTGAAACATAAACAGTATGTTAACTAACTGGATTTTAAATGAAAACTTTTAAAAAGAGATTTTCAGGCCATGAAGGTACACAAAAATTTGCATTAGGGAACTAAGAGGAAGACACATAATCAGCATTGGAAAGAATGGATCATCTGATTATGGATGATACTTTTCTGACACCTAAGTGTTTTATTAAAAAAAAGCTTTACTGCTGGCATTGTATAGCTTAGATCACTACTATCCAATATGGTAGCTAGTAGCTCTACATGGATATTTAAATTTAAAAATTTTTTAAAGATTTTATTTATTTAATTGACAGAGATCACAAGTAGGCAGAGAGGCAGGCAGAGAGAGAGGAGGGGAAGCAGGCTCCCTGCTGAGCAAAGAGTCCGATGTGGGGCTCAATCCCAGGACCCTGGGATCATGACCTGAGCCAAAGGCAGAGGCTTTAACCCACTGACCCACCCAGGCACCCCTTAAATTTAAATTTTAATTAAAATTAAATAAAATTATAAATTCAGTTTCTCAGTCACACCAGCCATATTTCAAATGCTTGAGAGCTACAGGTAGCTATTAGCTATCCTACTGGACAACACAGAACATTTACATCATCCCCAAAATATCTGGGGAATAAGTTAAGTTCTATGAGAACAGGTGGAAGCAGAGACTAACATTAATGTACTTTCTTGGATATGTTTAAAGTTTCGTTGTCTTCTAAACATTCTTTGAGAGCTTAAACTTCTTGAACTGTAGAAATGAAGAAAATTGGCCTGATGAAAGCAACTTTTTTCTATTGCCATCTTTCCAAGAACATGGACAGTCAGAGCATTCCAATATATCTCCTGCCAAAGGCTCTTGGAGAATGACTACAGACTGAGGTTGTTCTGGAGCTGGAATTGGGTAGCTATATTTTTCTTTCTGTTGTCAGCATACACTGGGAAATACACCTGCTACACAGAGTTCATTGTTTCTAAAATAATCTGAGAGTTTATTACTCGTGCCAAAAGCTGTCCAAGTCAGACAGTTCCACAAAGCAAACAGAAAAAACTGCCTTGATCCAGAATTTTCAGGGTGTAATCCCTCATTATGAATGGATTCAGAATAGGAAAAAGTTAGAAATTTAGGCTATTGGATCAGTTGCTTTCTATCAATAAAGTTATCAGAAACCTGCAATGTGTTTTTCTTTTCACAGAATTAGTAGTTTTTTACACAGAATTGAGAAAACTTTTCTAAATTCTCAAAATATCTAAAAAATCTTTAAGAATCTCAAAATATCTAAAAAAAAAAAAAAAAGATTTTTTTACAATCCTTTCAGTCACAAAACCAACTACAATTTGGCCCCTGCCCTCAAGGAGCTCATTCTCTAGTGAATGATAGCAATAGATAAATGAGAGCTAGGAGAATCAAGGAATGACTGTGAGGACAGAGGGTCATGTGACCAGCCAGTAAGATCTGCTGGAAGTCATGATCTCTAAGCAGAGTCTCGAAAGATAAAAGCCTTCTTCCTAGCTAGGGAAAGACAAGGTAAGAAAAAGTTTTAGGAAAGGAAAAACACGAGCCAAGGTACAGAGGTGAGAAACAGCATAGTACATTCTGGGGATTACGTGAAATCTCATATTGCCAAAAATAAGGGTCAGAAAGGTAGGCCGGGGCTAGATCACTGTATTCCATGCTAAGATTAATTTTCTTCTGTAGGTGTTGGAGAGTTATTAAGTGGTTTCTTAGGATGAGTGATCTGTTCACATTTGTGTTTTAGACAGACCACTTTGTATAACAACACTGATACAGAAGTGGCGGGTTTGAGAAGTGTTAGGAAGACAGTATGATGCAGTGAGATTAAAGGAGATGCCAAATAGTTTTCGAAAGTAGTAATAATTAAGGGGAGCCTGGGTGGCTCAGTCATTAAGCGTCTGCCTTCAGCTCAGGGCATGATCCCATTGTCCTGGGATCGAGCCCGCATGGAGCCCCCTGCTCTGCTGGAAGCCTGCTTCTCCCTCTCTCTCTCTTCCTGCTTGTGTTCCCTCTTTCTCTGTGTCTCTGTCAAATAAATAAAATCTTTTTTAAAAAAGTAGTAATAATTAAGGAATGAAATAAAAGGATAAATAGATAGGGAGAGAGTCAAGATTTTCAGGAAGCTGCTGGGGCTTTTCATTTGTTTTGCTTGATTGGTTGCTTGGTTTTTATTCGAACCTCTATGAAAGATAAAGTAGGGAACAGAGATGGGAAAGTACAATACAAAAGTTTTAGGAAAGAAATCATCACATGAAACATAAAGAAAGAAAGCACTGATAGTACAGTCAGAAAAATTCTGATAATGAGTCTGAGCAAACTAAAAGTCAAGTACTAACCTGTACTAAGGAAACCCAACAGACAAAGATCTTCATTAATGATACAGAGCTGATGAGCAGACAGCAATTCTCCTGGTTATGGAGATGATGCAATTATACTGAAAAAGAAAAAAGAAAAACAGATGAAAAATTAACATCTTTAAGAAGACAGCAAGTAAGTAGGTAAAAATGTAAATTATCTCCAAATTAAGCTCTAGATCTCTATGTCTCCAAGAGCTGTGGTATTCAAACCTCAATCTACTAAAAGAATTTGTGTGTTCTTTTTTTTTTTTTTTCTTTTTCTGTAAATGGATGCCATAAATGTTTTCTTGCCAGTCAGGTACTTTAAAGAGCAGGAAAAATTTTTATTTGATTTAGAAATAAATAGAATTTCTTAAAATAGGACTGTATGGTTTCCTGTCTTCAAAACATTCATGACACCATCTGCATCTTGAGGATTTGGACAAGGATTTTTATTGCTTTTGTAGATGCTCCCAACAAAATATCACATACATACACAACTTTTCAAAACTGTTTTAATTACTTACTCTTCCAAAATGAACAGATTAATAACCAAAATAATGAAAGTAAAGTGGTGCTGAATAGGAAATCCAACCAATAAAAAAATAATGGGCAGGAATTGGAAGCAAAATCTTTTCTTGCTCTTGAAAAAACACAGCCAAAAATCTTAAACTGATGTTGGATTATTGTGCACAAACAGTTCCTGACTCGTTCACCAAGTCAAACAAAAGTTGCAAATGTTTTTCTATCCCTCTTCTAACATTTTGGGAAAGGTTCCTGAAGGGGAAAAGAGAAATAATTTAATTAAATCGCACACACGTACACACACTTGCACACACACACAGGGGGACACTTTTTTTTTTTCTCTTTAGAAAGAGGTAATAAACCGCTTGAATAACTTCCATTTAAACAATTTTAAATTGCAAAAGCATGACGTATCTTTAATGTTTAGAAAAGGAAGGCTCCAATCACTATAATGGGATCGCTTTTTTTGGTAAGTAAAACATAATTTGAAAAAAAAATATGAAGAGAGCTATAGTAAGTTATAAATAGGTAAGAAATAACTAACTGTATGCGATCTAAATTGTTAAGTTTAAATTGCTTTTGAACTTTTTTTCTTCAATTGGATAAAATTGCTCTATGTGGACAAAATACCTGTTATATATAAAAAATAATGCAATATAAAGTTTACTTATCTGCTATAGGACAAAATGTAATTAATTGAAATTATATAACTCAAAGCAACTGTTATTACTCGAGCAACCAAATGTCTTATTACATGGTTATGTATGGAATAATTCAAATTGTTATAATTCAAAATACTCAATCACACAGAACTAATTATAATTTTCATTTTCAACTACCCAATTATAAATTTTAACTATTTATATGTAAAAACTTACAAAGTGACAAATACATATTTTAAAAAAGACCAGATTTGGGGGAGGGGAGAGAATTCCAATGAAGAAATCCACATAAAATGAGAAGCATGAAAAACAAATTGACAAAAGTTTAGTATTCTTAGACTCTATTCTATTTTAAAATGTGAAATATAAAGTAATTGAAATTTATAAGCACATATACAAGTTAAATAATATTCAGAGCAGCCACAATTATTAGTACTTACTCTGTGTTAAGCACTGTGCTGGTTATTTTATGTACATTTTTTCATTTAATCACAACCATGATCAGGGGCTTCACTAAACATTATACATGTAGGATGCTTTTAAATTTTCAAAAAAAAATCCTTTTAACTATCTCATGATCTTACATTTTGCTGTGAAATAGACAAAAGGGAAAAGCAATTATTAGCCCTATATAAATTATAGATTAAAAAAATAAAAGGACAGAGATTAAATTACTGAGTTAATAAAAAAACACAATTATGTACTTAGTTCTCTAACTTCTAAGCTCAATTCGCTATCCACTAGATAATATTAATATTAGAGAGCCCTAGTGATCCTAAATGTTTTAGGGAATAACTTAGCTTAAAGTTAATCAGCAAGCATTCAATGAGTTTCAATATTGTATAAAGCACAGAAGTATTTGTGTGATACAAAAAGGAGGGGAAAAAAAGGAAAAATTGGAAAAACAAAAGAAAGGAAAGAAGATAAAATTCCATTAAAGAATTTAGCATGAGAAGAAAACATTAATTTTTAGAATAATTATAAAATACCACTAAACGTAAAATAGCAGTAGCGAAAACTCCCTGATGTATTGATGTTACCCTGCTCAAATCATATGGTAATAAAATATGTATCTTCTATTTATTTGGATTAATCATATCCCAGAAAATTTCACTGAAGTAGCCTAATTCTTTGCTAAGCAGAAACTCTAGCATACAAATTATTGCTACAAAGGAAAAGGTCAACAGCTAGAAAATACCAAGCAATCTTTTAGAAACTTCTGTTCTAATATACTTGTTATAACAGAATTTTATTTGAGTTGAACCTATAAGGAACCAAAATATTTGTCAAAACCTCCCCCCAAAAGTTATTAATGGGTATAAATGGAAAAGCTTAAGTTACTAATGACCATACTTAAAAATTAAACAGACATTACTATAGGGGGAAAAACTTTGTATGATTAGGAGGCAAAAAAGGCAAAAATATGTGATTTATTCACAAATAGTATTTGGCTCAGAATATTGTTTAAAGAATAGTAATAAAGTTTACAAGATGTAAATCTTACTTTCTTAGAAAAATAACACCTTATCAAAATTAAGCTTCATACACACACACACACACACACACACACACACACACAAGCAGCAGTTAGGAGAAAGTCACTGTATGGTCATGAGGTGATAGTTTTAAGATTAAATTATTAGAAAAATGAATACTGAGTTTAAAATAGTGGCATTTGAAAAAAAAATTCAAGTCAGCACTTGATTCTACAACTTCTTAGAGAAACAACACGTTGTTATTATGTTTTTCCTTTTTAAAGTGTGTGGTGACTCTTGCTTCTTCTCATACATGTTTTACCTTCATCTTCTAATTACTAATAATTTTCTCCTAATTTCTTTCAACAGCTTCATGCAACTGGTATAGAAAAGTGTCACTGATACTTTAATATTTCTGAAACTAGATCAAGAACAAATCACTCAAGAAACATTACCTGAGTAGCATCTATGTGCTGAGCTCAGATCTCGGCTCTGTGGAACAAAAATTAAATAGAAAATATTAACTGCCCTCAAAAAAGGATTAAGCTGAAGCTTTTCAAATGATAGGTCATGACATTTTAGAGAGTTAGGAATCAATTTAGTGGGTTTCTGACAAACTATTTCAAAAGAATAAAATAAATTAGAACATAAAAAAACCTCACTGTGCATCACACATAGTAAGGCAAGTATTATTTCATGAAAGTTTATTTCAGTTATTATATATGTATGTGGGTACCAAGTCACAGTGTACATTTATTTTATACTGTGGATAACAGTCAAAAATTTGAAAGAACCTTGTTTAGGAAAATAACCTATAAGAAGTTTTCATGAAATGGTTTATTCTGTAAAGATGGCCACAGGCTGGAAACTTTAAATGTTCTAATCTACATTAACTGCCAAGACTGAATAAATGTGTTACAGAACAGGTAGTCAAGCACCAGCAATGTCCTTCTTTTGAAAAATGTTATCTTTATTTAGATCTCCTCTGTTAAAATGTTCACCAGTCAATCACAATGCTATGTAGCTCCAACCAAATATTTTTGCCATTAGTTAATACAACATAAAGTGAAATGAATGTGATACTTCTCTAACATGTTTGGGACTCAGAAAAGGGGCTTTGGGAATATAGTTATATTATCCCAGATGATAATCAATTAGAAACATTATACTCGGGGCGCCTGGGTGGCTCAGTGGGTTAAGCCGCTGCCTTCGGCTCAGGTCATGATCTCAGGGTCCTGAGATCGAGTCCCACATCGGGCTCTCTGCTCAGCGGGGAGCCTGCTTCCCTTCCTCTCTCTCTGCCTGCCTCTCTGCCTGCTCGTGATCTCTGTCTGTCAAATAAACAAATAAAATCTTTAAAAAAAAAAAAAAAGAAACATTATACTCTGAGTTGATTTGTAAGGGTTACAATTTTCTTCAAAGATGATAAACCACTTTCATGTTAATCAAGGAGTGCACAGTATCAAAATATTTATATTATGAAATGCTAAATAATTTAAACAGTTCCAATGAAAGGCTGAATAGCCAGTCATACCACAGTTTCAAAGGCTGATTCATTACAGCTAAACATATCAAAGTTCCACAGAGCTTGTTTTGTTTACTTACTTACATTTTTAACTATTTAAAGTAAATTCTTCCTAAATCCTAGGTCAGAGAACACATCTTATTCAATGCCTTGAATGTGAAATGATTATTGTTGAATGTATTGTTGATATTTTTTGTATTTTTATAATTTTACCAAAATAGTTTAATCAATATTCCAGATATATTCAGAGATCTCTATGGAGAGGGTCCCTGCAAAACCTAAGCCCATATCACCTATCTTTTTATAATACCTAGACAATTAAATCCAGTAAGTAGTAATGGTAATTATATTGTTCAACCAAATATAGACCTAAAACTAAAATATAGAGTAAAAGAGTTTAAAGGTCACTTGACCTTTTTGGCGGGGGCGGGAATGGAAATTGAATCTCAGAGAAGTTCAGTGATTTGCACAAGGTTATCCAGTTAATCTGTGCCAGATTAGAAAAGAACTTGGGTTTTATAATTCCCAGTGGTATTCTTTCTACTATAAGACACTTATTTTTTGGTCTGCTTCCACTTCAACCCTTTTTTTCCTCATTCTATACTATGTGCAAAACACTTCTTTAGTACTGTGGGGATTTAAAAAGTTAAGACAATCCTTGACCAAGCTACTTAAAAATGCAAAATATATATATAAAAGTATAGTCAGAGATTTATGGAGATTTAAGTGTTGTGGAACTGTGATAATAATTCAATTCAAGTTTTGGCAAACTACTATAATTCAATTCAAACTTCTGAAAAGTCATTCATGACTACTCCAGATTGAAATACTATTTCCCTATGGTATTAGAAAAAGCACTAGATAGGCAACATAAAACCTGGATTTGTGCTGTGGCTCAACCACTAACTAGATGTTTGAAAAATAATTATTGAACTTCAGATCACTCATTTTTAAATAGTGTAGAGGACACAGCCATAAATTATTGTATAAAGGGTCCCTTTCAGATCCACGCAACAATATTTGTACCAGCCCGTTCCAAATCTACCCTTTACACCAAAGTGAACCACTTACTCAGCATAGGGTTGCTGCTCTATCATCCATGGCTATGGCAACTGCCCAGGACTCTCACCTTACCCTTAATCCCTCCTTCTATGCCAGTGTCTCTCTGGGTCATTTTTTAGGCCATCTCTTACTCCTGGATGACTGAATTTAGTTTCCCTGGTTTTGATCCTCTGTGCTCTCTAAAGGACTTAGTTTGTACAGATCATCTGGCTCTTCATATGCCTGGACATGTCAGGAAGAAACTCCCACATCATCTGCCTCTGGTCCCTGGGATCCAAGACTGAGTGCATGCCCAGTTGCAGGAACACCCAGCAGATACACCATGACTGTTTAAGCAGCTTACTAAGATGGGTTTGGGATATTTCTACCATTATTATATTAGTTATTTGACTATCATTTAACTTCTTGTATAAGTTGTATTTGTATTTGTATTCATAGAGATCCACAGTCCCTAAAACTCTTGAGGTTGGATGTATTTCACAAGTCAGAATTTTTCAGATTTCAAAAGGTAATATAATATATATACCATGGTGGTAATATAATAACATCATAATTAAAGGATCAATTATTTCTGAGGTAAAACATTTGAATATTCTTAAGTGGAATAAATGAATACTATAAATAGCTTCACATCAGTTCAAGTCATATTTTTATGCCAAATGACTTACTCTTGGGTTAGATTTTACTACAAAATATTACCAAAAACATAACAATATAAGTTTTCTGGGATTTTTGGACTTCATTATTATACATAAAGGATTATGAATCTAATAAATTATGTGGAACCCAGATGGACTACATGTACCACAAGGACAGAGACCATGTATTTTAATTCTTCATATTTCTAAAAAATGTTCTTCACAACACTCAATAAAAACAGTTCATGTTTAGGGGCACCTGGGTGGCTCAGTGGGTTAAAGCCTCTGCCTTCGGTTCAGGTCATGATCCTAGGGTCCTGGGATCGAGCCCTGCATTAGGCTCTCTGCTCAGTGGGGAGCCTGCTTCCCCTTCTCTCTCTGCCTGCTGCTCTGCCTGCTTGTGTTTTCTCTCTCTCTGTCAAATAAATAAATAAAATCTTTAAAAAAAAACAGTTCATGTTTATTTGAATAATTCTTCACTGAGTACATACCATACGCCAAAAGTTTCACTCAGGAGTTGTGAGGCATTAAAAAATCTAACACATAGAACCTGCCCTCAAGGGCATTATAGTCTCAAAGGAACAAAGCCTAAAACAAATGTTAAAATATAAATCTGTGACTAAGTGCCAAAAGTACTGATTCAGACAAGAAGGATGTCAGATATGGGAGTAGCAAGTTCACATGTGAAAATCGTAATCTAGTTTAACAAGAGCTGTCAATATCTCGCAACTGTCAAAGTTGGCATAATGATTTATAATCTGGAGAGGAAGTTCTGTATAATTTGGTAAGATAATTCTATTAGTCACAAAAGGTTATACAGAAAATCACTATAGCTTTTGCTTTAGACACATAGATTTTCAAGCAGAGTTTCATTCACCCTGATTCCAGAAATGGACACTCATAGGGATGACCTCACAGACTTAAAAATGAAAGAGTGTAAGACCATGGAGAATCAGCACCATACCACTACACAGAAGTGCCCTAGATGAGACAAATTCTGTGCAAAAAGGAAATTATTTTTGACAAAATTAAGTTTCAATTCCACTTTTTGTCAGTTGGGCCTATTTTGAAAGGAGTGGTAGATTCTGATTAAAAGTATCTTCTTGAGCCAAGAAAAATCAGATAAGAATAAGACACATTTAGGGGCACCTGGGTGGCTCAGTGGGTTAAAGCCTCTGCCTTCGGCTCAGGTCATGATCCCAGGGTCCTAGGATCGAGCCCCACATCAGGCTCTCTGCTCAGTGGGGAGCCTGCCTCTCTGCCTACTTGTGATCTCTGTCTGTCAAATAAATAAATAAAATCTTAAAAAAAAAAAAAAAGAATAAGACACACTCAGATCACACATTTGTAAATCACTAAAAAATTTTAAAGGTACAAGAGATCTAGCAATTGGTTGTAATATATTAAATGTATTATTATGATAGAACTTATCTGGCTTCTCTTAAACCAGAAATATTCCTCAAAGGTGATAAACAGGAGTATATCTACTCTACAGATAAAAACCTTGAACTTGGTGATATTCCATGGCTAAAGGTCAATTACATAATCAGTACATTATAATAAGTTTTAAATACAAAAAACTTAACTCCAACTTCACTGAATTAACCACTAACAATAACAAAACCTAGACAAGGTTTTCCCCTATATATAAAACTACCTGATAGGAAGTTACCAAAGTAAAAATAATGAGATTGATTTGCTCATAAAAATACTACCCAAGCCTTATTTGTCAATTCGTTCAACCTCTGGAACCTAAAAAAGTAGGAATAAGCAAGTTATCAGACAAGAGGTAAAGTCCATTCTGTACTTTTTTGTCATATCCCTTACATAGTAAAGCAGTAACATTCCAGTATGAAACTTATGATCCAAATGATGATCATTTGTTTTAGGTAAGACAACTGATTATTAACAAAGAAAAAATAACTTTGCATCATGTTCCTCTCAAGAAAGCTGAATTCATTACCTGATATCAAGTGAATTGTGAAGTGTTTTTAGATTTCCCCCCGATCAACTGAATAAAGGAAAGGAAGCATCCCAGTTGTCTAAATGGGAAGAACAACCTGGCAAAGACTATTACAGACAAAAATGAAGCCTATAAGTGATATCAGATGACATCTTCTATGGAGTTATTTTAGTGGTGATATCATCTGACGTCTTCTATAGGTTTATTTGGGTGAGTGTGACATTTTCTTAATGAGAAGATTAGGAAGTTGCCCTAAAAGAGTCTTATATAATGTATAAGGCCAAGGAACATATGGATAAAGTGTTGCTGGAGAAGTGTAAATATGACTCTTGAAGTAGTAAATGAAGGTTAAACATTAACAGCTGGTCCAGGGGAAATGAAGAGAGGGGAAAAAAAGTAAGCTGTCTGTTTCAGACTGGTATTTCACTAACCCGTAAGTCATCTTTATCTGTTTTCTATTTCAAGTCACCTGGCTGAAATATATTACATTTCAAAGTTTAAGGAAATAACTGTTAGAAGTTTCTTTCTTTAGTTAAGTTAACCGAAAAAGACATTTCAGGATTGTGACTTGAAATTTTGAGCTTCACAGTTTCTTTTCTAAGAAAGAAGTATCATTTTAACTGTAAACCTATCACACTACCGCTTTTTAAGGACTCACAATTTGTATTTTTATATATTAAATCTTATACTACAAACACCATCTACCCCACCACCACACGCACTCATTTCAAAACTGTATCACGAACTCAGTTCTGCATTATCTAGCTCAAAAATCCATTCATTTGGTTCAAGAACACCAAATTTCCCATGCAATTTGAAAGTCAAGGTATTAGTGGTTGCTGGTCACTCCAGCTGCATAGCAGAGTTAATTGAATTAAAGTCAAAAGGCCACCACTGTGAGCCTGTTTCCCCAATTATAAAACCAGCAAAATGGTATCTATGTCAAAAAGTTTACTGTGAGAGTGATGAGCACTAGGTGTTAAATGCAACTAATGAATCACTGAATCCATATCAAAAACTAATGATGTACTATATGTTGGCTAACTGAATTTAAATTTTAAAAATTTATTGTGAGAATTAAGTGAGATAAATATACCTTAAAGTACTCAATGAGTTACAAAATGCTATATAAAGGTAAGCTAATGTGATCATTACATATCTAACTTCCTATATAATTTTACTACCTAACCTAATCTTTACCAATAAAAAAGAACTATTTTATTTAACCAGGGTTTACCTTACTCTTATTTTGGGGTTAACCTGTTCAAAGAAGAGGTAGAAGCACCCTATCATAAACTTGCACCTCAGACTGAAGCACTGTATTTGAACAACACTGTAGATGTCTATCCAGGTACAATAAGCACCTGCTTACACCATCAACTCTTCCTTTTACCAAAATTTCATACCCATTTTAACTTTAATATCCTGAGGTCCTGAAATAGTTACTTGTTAGATAGAACAGCCTCACTACCAAATCACACTATCATAAAATCATAGGTTTTTTTTTTTTTTCAGTGGAAGCATTGTTTGGAAATTAATTCTTCCATATATTAGACTAATTATTAGCAGAATAAGACGTCTCTTTATATGCCATGCATTTAGTAATTTGCATTTATAATCACTCTGAATAATTTCCAAAATGACATAAATCAATTTGCAAAAACAAAGTCCAAGAATGCCAGCTTCTACTAGGACGCCAGTCTCTCTAAGGCAGATCCCTTTGAGTCTGAGAACACATATAAAATGGAGGCAGCGCCATTTAATCTCTTCATAGCTCCACCACTTACTTATACAGGGCTCGAGTGTCTACATTGGCCATATATACAATGGGTTCAGAGATTTCCTTTTCCTTCCCCTCCCCTTTATTTCTGATCAGAGTTTTCATAAGATTACTCCCTGGTATGAATTTAGTTCTACATTTTAGAGGACAATAAATGAAATAATACATTTCATTTTTGCATAACTGCCCCAGTTCCTGTGGACTAATGATTCACAGACCACTAAATATTCACAAATAGCATTGTTATAGTTTGATAAAGCACCACAAACATAATATTGTTATATTGTAATTTCAATATTGAAATTACCTCTTGCTCCTGTTACTGATGACATCTTTCAGATAGCAATAAGCAGAAAGTCTGTAAGAACCTTTATTTCAGTAAAAAAATTTAAACCCAACCCTTCAAATGGAGTAGGATCTTTAACAGCAGTATTAAGCGAGCCCTTTATAGTCAAGAATTAGAATATCTGCCTTACATCTTCCTTTTAAAACAGCGAACCTGAATTTTAAGAATTTATACTTTTCAATCTCCTTCGCTGACGTCCTATCCTTCTGACTAACCCAACACACAAACACACACACGTTAAAGACAGGGAGGAGGTGGAGAAGGTGGTCTGAATCGTGTCACTCAACTAAAGGGTCCGGTCCTAGCATGCGCAAACGCCATCCCTAAAGCCTTTGTATTGTGTTTCAATTCGTCCGCACAGCGCCTCCTGCCGGGCCCGAGGGCCGCGGCTCGCCGACGGGATGCAGGCGGCCGGGAAGGGCAGCCGCCAGGACTCGGCCACCAGCCTCCGCGCTGCCCTCCTCCAGCCGAGCGGCACCCAGCGCTCACCACCCGGCTGCGCGCGCAAGGCGGGAAAACGCCAGCGGCCTCGGCCGCCGGGTGCTGGGAGCCAGCGCCGGCCGACGGGACGCGCGGCCGGTTCCTACTTAGAGAAGGAGCAGGGGCCTTAAACGCCTGTGCGCGCCCCATTTATCCCGTGAGGCCTCCGCTCCGTCTAGGGCAAGGGTCGAGGATGTAGCGGCCTCGGCGTAGCTCCTCAGCGCCAGGCCCATCGCTCCTACCCCATCCACAACGAACGCCTCGTCCGGGGCGCTCCGCGGTCCATCCGCTCGTGCGGGCCGTCCGCGGTGGGCCCTGCGCTCCCACCCAGCTCGGCGACCCCTCCAAGCCGGGCGTCGCGCCTCCCTCCTCCTGTAACCCCCGGCTCCAGGGCCGGTCGCGAAGCCCGAGCTGAGGGGCGCTGCCCCGGCCCCCAGCTTCCGCGTGCGGCGCCGGCCCCAGCTGTCGCGAGCAGTCGACAGTCCCGTTGGAGCCTTATCTCTACTTTCCCGCCACCTCCTCGGGGGCGCTGCCGGTCCCGTTCCCTTTTGAATCCCCCAATGCGCTTATCAACGAGTAAACGGACAAAAGTAGCTCAAATAAGTGCTAACAGAGGAGACCCCAGCTTCCGGCCCCGTCGACGCCGGGCCTGTCCGCAGGGTTGGAACATTTCTCCCAAGTTTCCCAGCGTCGCCGCCGAGAATCCTTCCGCCCGGCCCACCGCACGCGGCGCCTGAGGCGCGGGGCTGAGTGCTCCGAAGGATGCGCTGGGCCTCGCTCGGGTCGAGCCCACCTGGCTTCTGGCCTCTGCGTCGGGAGGGAGGCGGTCGAGGAGGGCCGTTTGGTTTAGGCGCGAGGCCGTGTGGCTCCCGGAGTCAGCGTGGCCCCGCGACCGTGAGAGTGTGCGCGCCGCCGGTCTCCGAGGCCGAGGGGTAGCGGCCAGACGGTGCTCGCAGAGGCTGGGAGGCTGCCCGGTGCCGTATTTGGGGGCTCGTGAGACTTCTCTCACGCAAGAAGGCAGTGAGCGGAGGCCTGTAGGACCCAAACTAGGCCTCTCCCTCCCCTTCTTATGCCCGCCCACCTTCCCCCACTCCGCCCCGTTTTCCTTCTTGTCTCCCCGCTCCAGGCTCTCCTTCCTCCTTCCTCTTCTCACCTAATCCCCTGCCCACTCTCCCCTCTCGGATCGACTCCTCTCCTCTTCTCTCAACTCAGCCCGCTTGCTCTGAGTCTCTTCCGTCTAGCCTGGATCTACCCTTCCCAACCCCTCCCGCCCCACTCCCCCCCCCGCTTCTCTACTTGGGTCTGTTGGATTGCTCACTACCTCATGACTTGTTTCCTAGTTTATGTGGAAAATAAACTGTCTCTGGATGTGAGACTAATCCCATCTTTTTTTTTTTTTTTAAACCTACGGTACATAATACAGTTGCCGTATACAAGGGGCGCTGCATAAAGATCAAACTCCTAGGATGGAGGGAAACGGATCCCCCACAGGCAAGAGTTTTACAGGAGAGTTCTACCTAGACGGGTTGTAGGACCAGACCGCCCGATCTTTTACATCTCTGGCCAGGGCACTGCTAGGCTCTAGAAACCCACAGGGCTGGGCCGGAAGCAGCCCACGAAGCTGTGAGTGGCGCGCAGGAGGGGGAGAACCTGGTTGCGGGGATCCGGGCTCGTGAAACGCCCCCAGCCACGAGCGGCGCGCGGGCGGGCCTCTGCGCCCAGAGCCCCGGCGGAGCCCAGAAGCTGTGGCCCCGAAGCTGAGTGCTGACGCCCGACGGGGAGGCCCGCTTAGCTCCCCGCAGTCTCCTACTGCTGACCAGTTCCTGGAAGTGGTCTCGCACCAGGCAGGGAGCAGGGCACAGCTCCTGGTTACTCAAACCGTTCTGCCGTGCCGGAGGAAGCGGCCCAGGGTTTCCCTCCACGCGACAACTCATTCTTTGGAGAAAGACTGGGGAGAAACAGTGTCTCTCGAGGCTCGTGGTGTCCTAGAGCCTAGAGTCCTTCGGCGATCTTTTTTATTCGCCCAGGGGCAACTTGCAGAGAGCCCTGAGCGTCGCCCACGTGACTTCTTTCGGCTCTGTTAGTGTGTTGATCTTATTTGTTTAAAAATTATGTATAGCATACACTGTATATAATAAATATATTCTTACCGATTACCTGATGTTGCCTAAACAGAAATGTGTTAGCTGTGGGCACAAGGGGAGAGAGTCAGGAAGAAGAGATCGCCAAGACTGGAACAGGAGAGACGTAGGGACACAATCTAACTGGTTAAGTGGCTTTGGGCAAGTCACTAACTCCCTGTTTCCCTTCATGCCATCCTTTACTAAATAGAGTTGTTGAGTAAGCTATGTGATACGTGTGGGTTTTTTCAACCTAGAGAATCTCCCCCACAAAGAGACTTTTTAAAAAATCTGATTAGCTTTTGAGTTAGTTGGGTTTGCTTTTCTTCTTTTTAACCCTTTTTATCGCTATTACCTTCACAGAAGAAAAGCTGGGAAACAGCCAAAATTTGAAAAGGAGAACACACTCAGAGAAGTATGGGAAAAAATGGAGAAAAAGAAAATGATCAATTAATGTAATTTTTAAAAACGTACCCAGTTTCCCCAATGAAAATAAAACTAAACAGATTAGATTTTAGAGTTCTGCTTCTGGTTCAAAATTACAAAGGAACACTGGAGCTCAAGTTTGTAGAAGGCAGTGTGTGTGTATTGGCTTCCTAGGTCCCAGTCACACTCTCATCTCCCTACGCTGCTAAATGGGATACTCTCCATCTTCATTGCTTGTTTCAACAGGTGTGTCTAAAAGCTATTGTGTCTTACTCTTCTTAATGTGAGTGGTAGAACCTGGTCAAAAGTAAAATGGAGAAGAAAGGATTGGGTGGAGAAGAGAGAAATGTGATTTAAGGCGTCTCCAATAACATGCCACCTTAACTCAAAGCTCTGCCTTTGGCTTTAGGTCTACATTCAGCATACCCAAGGGTTAAAAACTCTCTTCATGAATTTACTCTTTCGTTAATAAATAGTCTGTATCTGTTATGAGCTAGGTGCTAGGGATTGGGTGCTGGGGACGAGTGTTGAACAAACTTTGGGGTCCAGTTCACAGGCTAGTGAGAGAAATGAGTAGTATGAAAACGCTATTACCTACTGAAACATGCGTATCAGGGGAACATTAAGAAAAACACCAGAGTCAAGATCAAGGAAAAGCTTTGCAGAGGAGTGCCCCTTAAGCTGATCTTTAAGGAAGGAAGGAAAGGGGCAGTTGGGCAAGGGGGTGGGGTAGAGGTAATCCGTAGGCATTCCGTTGACATTCCGTTGACATACCTGAAAGCCCAAGGATAGAAATAGCTTCCTTTAGAGAAGTTCAAGTGGTTTTCTAAAACAAATCAAATGGTAAAAATGAAAATGAGAGAATATTGGGAATATTGGGAAATATAGCTAAAGAAACAGGCAAGAAATTCTTGAAGAAATGTATGGGCTGAATCTGCACTTTATCCTGAAAGCTAGGAGGTTCTTAAAAAATTTTAAATGGAAAATAAATGATAAAATTTGCATTTTGGAAAGATCATTTTTACAGGAATGTTGAGGACACAGAGGAGGGTTGGGAAGATTGTAGGGAAACCAGTTAGGAGACTATTGCAGTAATGGTTGATAGAAGAGATGAGAATCTGAATTTAGACAGTGAGAGTGGCTATAAAATGAAATAGAGGGAGAGGGAGGGAGTGATATAAGAGATAAAAGGGGACTTGAGAGAATCTGATGACTAATTGAGTGTGAAGGATGAGTGAGAAATGAGGAATAGAGAAAGATTCCCAGGCTTTGAGTTTAGGGATCTAGAGATTTGATTAAGCCACCTACTGAGAGAGAAGCCAAGATTGGAACAGAAAGATGATGTGATCAGTTTGGGGTATGTTGATTTTGTTGTATCTTTGAGATGTCCAGGCAGAATGTCAGATGAATGGATATCTGGGTCTGGAGTTACATATGATCTGGGCTGAGGGTAAAGATTTAGAAGTCATCAGCATAAAAACAGTAGCTGAAGCCCTGGGTTTGGTGAGGTTACTCAAGAGAAGTGTTTTTAAGTAACATATTCAGGAAACACCAGTTTAGCAGGCCATCAGAGCAAGAGTAAACCTCGAAGGATACTAAGAAGGAACCACCAGAAATACAGAAGGAAAACATAACAGTAAGCATCATTTTGGGGATACCATTATCTTCTAATCAATGATCTGGGATCTTTATATACATCATTTCATTGAATCCTTACAGCAACCCTAGAAGGTAGATGTTTTCGTATAGAAAAACTCAAGGGCTGAGAAGTAATTCGACTAGAGTATGTTTAGCCCCTAGCAGATGAAACCTATATTGAAATCCCACCTCTCAATAACTACGGGATATGTGCTAATATATAATCTCTCAGACTCTCGATTTCCTCATCCACAAAATAGAACTAAAATAGAAGTTTCTTCTGAGGATTATTGTGAAGATTAGATAAGATAGCATATGTAACATGCCTGGCACAAAGTGGGTGCTAGATTCCTGATAGTTATTATCCTTATAAATAACTATAACCACATATCACTATGTAAACTTGAGTGGCTACTGTCTCTTCTTTAGTTCTTCGGCTTAAACATGAACTCCAAATTTTCACCTAAGGTCCATAGTGCACAACTGAGACCTGACCCAGACTAATGTATTATGATAAACCCTTACTAAAGATTTGGACATAGCCAGATAGGACTGAACACAGAAAGCAACAGAAAGCTAGATAAACTGAAAGTAAATCACTTCATTTCAGGATCTCCCACAGAGGTAGCACCTTGCTGCCTAACTTCTTGGGGGAAGTCATCTTTCCTAAACCACCAGGGAGCATCATCAAACAATCAATGTACTTCGAAGTCCAAAAAGACTGATCTCACAGGGAGTCAAGAGTTCTCACTGAAGTCCAAGACCCACCTTCCAAAAGACCCTGCTACCTGTCTGAGGAATTGCCCCTTGCAGATGATCGATATGGGGGATGCCACTTTCTTTAGAGGGGACATGCCTGTCTCTAGGATTATCACCTTACACTATGGCCTCAACAGTTGAGCCTTAGTAGAACACAACAAAATAAGCCCAACATTCATATAAAAGTTACATATTTTTCATAATTCTTAGAAAAGGTGAGACATTTTATATGAGCTCTTCTTAATCTTTCTTTACCCTTAGGCCATCTTCTACTCAGAAGTTACTCTGAAAAGTGAATTTGGATAAAGCCATAAACTTACCATAGTCCAAATTCAACAAAAAAGACATATAGCAAAAGAGATCTACTAGACTGAAAGTAAGAGAAAGATTTTGTCAGTGTAAATGAGAAAGAACCACAAATTTATGTTTTCAAAATTAAAAGATGTACGTAGATATAGAAATGAATAAATTATTGGTTAGTGTTCACTCATGTGTTTTTAATCCTGTAATATGATTAGGTATTTCAAAGTATAGAGACTTTTGATCATGGCTTTAGTACAATTCATAATGGCAGCTCTTCTATTTGTTTCTTCACACTTGTTTCAAGGAATGTAGAGACATATTCTGCCCCAGGGCTCCAGTTGGTTTACCTCTAAGGTGAGGATCTTATGCAGATTTTTTGAGGGCTCACAGAGCTTGAGTAAGCAAAAGACTCCAAGTTGTGGCCCTATTTGCCCATTCTAATGCAATAGCCAATAACCATTTTTTAAAAGATTTTATTTTTATTTATTTATTTGACAGAGAGATCACAAGTAGGCAGAGAGGCAGGCAGAGAGCGAGGGGAAGCAGGCTCCCTGCTGAGCAGAGTGCCCTATGTGGGGCTCGATCCCAGGACCCTGAGATCATGACCTGAGCTGAAGGCAGAAGCTTAACCCACTGAGCCACCCAGGTGCCCTGCCAGGAACCATTTTTATGGTAATAGTTACCTGTGAAACTTAGAAAAGCTAAGTTTCACAGCATCCATTTTTCATGGGAAATTATCGTCTTTAGGTTAAGAATTTTAATGGCGTCTGTCAGGAGACTGGACATCTCCCCCCAACAATAATAAAAAGATCGTTTTGGTCAGGGCCATATGGGAGATGCTGCATGATAGTTTGTTAATCAGGTCTCTTTACCACTGGGTTTTTTTAGAGACATTAACTGTTAATGTGTTTGTGAAGTTTCAGATGTTTTTGACTACAAAATCCTTTGATCTCAGAGGGTCTAAAGAGACTTTTGTGTCACAGATTATGCTTTGAAGAAAACTACCAATACTGGGATAGCATACTTCCATTGGAGAAAGTCATTTGAACTCACTGTCATCATTGAAATCACATTTACCTCCACCAGTGATTCCTCCTTATCCCCTTCCTTTCCCCCCCACACTGACAAGGGAAACTTCTACCTACTTACTGCCATACATGGCAACATATATCTGGGTCATAACATATTTACTTCTTTTTTAAAAAATGTTCTTTAGGGGCGCCTGGGTGGCTCAGTGGGTTAAGCCTCTGCCTTCAACTCAGGTCATGATCTCCGGGTCCT